TTTTCTAGTCTGTATGTGTGCGTGTGTGCGTACTTGAAGCGTGAAATTAATAAAAAACTGACGCTAGAAATACGGCGGTAACCAAAATTAACTAGTCCCAAGTAAAAAAACTAAATATTATCTACACTAAAACAGGTGAAAGCTTCTCATTGCAGTTCAGTAAAAAAGTAGGAGAGAGTGTTTTGATTTGTTGAAATTGAGAAATTTTTCTAGATTACCACATGGTCTATAAGTAAATTAGTACAAATATTGATGTCTGGAAATAATTCTTGAATCTAGCTGGCTATTTTGGATACTATTACATTACAAATAACATAGTGTTATATCATCTTTTTAAATTGTTAAGTGATTTTATATCTGACTAAACTTCGGCTCATTCTTAGTGTTGTTCTTTATAGATGACTAAAAAAGAAAATAGGCATGAGCTATTTAAACAGTCACACAGTAAGCAACATAGGATGATGACAAAATGTTGCGTTACATTTAATCCTTTACTATTAAACACACACTTGTATAATACAGTAGAAACATCATGTGATTGTAGGAAACAGATATAATACTGCAGGGCAGCCTCAGGGTGAAGCAGCTGCCCTTCATTGCTAAATTATGGAAGAAATGTGTTTGGAATGTTACCATAAAATTAGGGCTGCAACTAGTGATTATTTTGCAAATTGATAATCTGTCGATTATTTTTTCAATGAATCGATTAATAACCAGATAGCCATAGGTTCCTAAAAGAAGATTTTTTTTATGAAATTTAAACCAGGTGAAACATAAACGTTTCCTCTAGAGGAGTTCTGGATGGAGAATATGGACAGACAAAAACTTTTTTTGTCTTAAATGCAAAATGTTTGCATATTTTTTACAATCTGGGTATAATTCCTGCTCTAAGTGGGTTGCTCTGTCGGCTAAAGGCACATTTTAGTGGCCCTATACTCCAGTTAATGATTATTCAATTACTAAATTAGTTGAGGATTATTTAAATAATTGATTATTATGATTAATTGTTTCAGCCCTTGATAAAATACATGAAATGGGGTTACACAGAGTAACTACAGCTCATATGTACAACTTGTAAAGTGAAGTTAATATTATAAATGCTCAGTGTCAGTTCCTCTTATAGTTCCAGTGCACATGTAAATACAATACATTTATTTGTCGTCCCTTGAATGTATTATTTTGCATGATACAGAGAGAGCATATTAGATAAAAAAAATAGGAGTGGGGTTGACCTCTGCTCAATTCTATATCTTCCAAAGAAAACACAGGATAAATCCACATATAACAGACATATTTAGACTATATTTGGTTAAATAGGAACGTATTTACCTTCTGTCTAAGTCGCTGGTAGTTTTAAATACAAAACTTTTCAAAGTGGAAAGAAGTCCTTATTCCACATACATCAGAGCCAGTGATGCTTAAACATTGATAAACTGCAACTAGTTTAAGATTTGTATGGATGTATGTAGCAAGAAATGCTGCTGTTCTCTTTAAACAAAATGTGCCCTGATGCTCACATCAAGGATAAAAAAAGCACATTAATATTTTTGCGTGGGACCAATGACATCAGACCAATGAAACTAAAACTAATAGTGTCCCTACCAAAGTTGAAATCAAACCTACACCCTTGGATGAGGAGCTATATAAAAGGGATTGTGTGTGATAATTGGTTTCAGAGGTGGGCGGGGCCAATGTCTATTGGCTGGAGCTCTGTACGTGGCACAGCTGCAGGTGAGGCAGGTAAGAGACTTCCAGATTGAATTTAAGCTTCATAACACAATGAAAATTAGTATGCTAATCAAAGGTCAATAAATGTTTCCCAAAATAGTTTGTCTTTATTTTTCAGAATTCAGGATTTTATAAGCAAATAATTTTAAGTTTAGATAACATCTAATCACAGATTCACTCACTCATTCATTATATTCTCTATTATTTGGAGTAATTTGATTTTTTAAAAACCGCTTTTAATTCTATCTACCAGTTTACTATAGGGAAATTGCTCATATTTAAAAAGTGCCTTTTATTAAATTACAATCTTTTTAGATTTGATTTAAAATTTAGCTTATTAAGTTTAGCAGCACAACATTTTTTATGGAACACAGAGAAGATATACCTTAGCATTAAAGGTAAACGTAAAATGGTTAGATCATTGGAGAGATACACTGACCACAGATTCAACATCATTTAGCACTCTTATAGATTCAGTTATTATCCTGCCAAATCTTAAATATATAAATACAGAAAGGATCAGCTCCTGATTGATGTATCACATAAGTAGATGAAACTCCAAGTTGGTGTTCGTCATCACTGATCTATGCAGTACATTAGTGAACATGTTTAGGCTTACATGAAAAAGAAGAATAATAGGATGAATATTACAGTGACCAGTTTTACAGTGATCATGTTCAAATCCCTAAAAAAATGCATGAAGACTGAAGAGAAGAGAATCTAAAAAGTTTCAATAAAGTAAACTTTAGGTCCTTGGTGAGTTTTTACATTGATCATAAACATAAGTACTTATTTTTGAAAAACACAAAAAAAGTATTAATATATTTATAAAAATGCTAATGCAGCTTCAAATTAATTGCTTCAATTGGTAACAAGTGATTGTATCAAGTTCATTCAATTTTTACCATTTAAAGCAAATCATTTAAACTGGAGCTGCATTGTCTTTCTAGAATATAAAATATTTCAATTTCAGTTAACTATTTAGTACACATATCTAGTTCCAATTAGCAACATATGTCATTTTAAGAGAGACATTTCAATCAGAACATACATTTGTTTTGGTACAACCTTTTGAATCAAAGGAAACCCAACTGAAAGCACTGAGTCATTGACTTAGCAGGACATGCCCTCCTGGATGAACATGTTTGACAGATATTTCTGTAACTTTGTAGACGTATGAAGAGGCATTAATTCTTGATCAGTTTCCTTTTACTCATTTAAAGAGATGGTTGTCATATTTCGTGGGAGTAAGTCCCATTTATCCATTGACAGAGGATGATTCTCCCAGTCAGGCCGCAGAGGGGGGTTGCTCAAAGCCATCAGGCAGCCAAGCCAATAACATTCAGAGCCCAAATACTCCCACACCTCCTGAGGATTTCCTCCAGGAAAGGTTCTCTGTAGACAATGAGTAATTAAACACATTTATTTTTTTATTTGGAATGAAAAAGTAGTAACCCATGAACAGTAGATAAAAGTCTGCGTTTGGTGTGAAAATCACCTGTAAAGAAGCACCTTGTCTCTCATTGTAGAGAGTCAGCTGCAGGTTCTGGATGGTTAACTGTCGGTACTGATCAACCTAAGAGAACAAAGCTCAGTTCAGACGCATCAGGAACAAAAACATGGATTTAAAGAACACTTCATTACCTTTTGTGGTGCTCCTGGAGCATTTTTCACATTTGTTTCATATAGTTTATCTACCAACATTTTCCTTTGTATCATTTCAGTTTTAGCGTCTCTGAACTTTGTCTGACATTGGGAGAAAAAAATGAGACAAGTTAGGACAAAATGAAGGAAGCAGTAATATCAGTTAACTGTACATTTTAAGTGAAGAAAAAATAAATCTATATTTTGGATTTAATGAAAACAGATCTGTACCTGAATCAGCTCTTTGGCAGCGTCTGGATGTGTCTGGTTTGACTTTAGGCTGTCTTTGATTTTTGGCCAGTCGCATCTCAGGGAGTCATACATCTCCTTTAACCTGGTTTTATTTACAGGGTTGTTAAGGCTCATGGTTTTCCCTGTTTTGATTGACAGAGCAACGTCCCCTGCCACTCTGTAAAAACCACAAAAACGTTTTTTTTTTTTATTAAAGTCTAATAGATAATTAACATGACATTTTTGTGGTGCGGAAGTAGAAGGAAACTTGTATTGTACCTGTCCTTAAAGGATTTTAGTTCTTCATCTTTTTCTTTTAGAGCAGACCTGCGCAATAAAATGGATCAATAGTAAAATATACCATCTTTTTAATGTATGTTTTACAAAGATCAGATCAAAATCAATAATCCAATGCATTTTGCTGAGCTGCTTCCTTGGATAGACATTCAAACATGCCATCAACAAAATCTATTTATTTTGTCATTTATTGTTATCTTTGGATTTCTCTAATATATGCATATATCCATTTGGGATAAATAGAAGGTTATTTGATATACAAATTAGATCTTTTACATGTAAATTGTCTGGAGGTTATATTAGATGTGAATCTAATATAGCTTTTAAAGCTGTTTATACAGTATCAATCAAATATTTTAAAAATGTAGTTCAAAACTTTCTCTAAGATACATTGATAGAATTAAGGTTACTGAGGCTGATAGCATTTATAAATGTATTCTGGACATTTCTTCTTATAGTATAGATATAACATTTCAAATAGTTTTTTAATCTTTTTAAATTAATTATAAAAAAACAGCTATAATTACCTTGTGCTTTGAAGCTGTGCTTCCATTTCATGTATCCTGTTTAAAAGCAGCAGAGACACATTTATACAGATTTGACCAATTAGATCACAGATAGAAAACGAACAATATCAAATATTATTGCAGGATACGACCTTTTTTTGACAATGACAATAAATTCTTGAATTGAATTGAGGCAGCGTGGTTACATCAGCCATTGTCTAACGATTATGTTAAATGAGCCCAAAGGGCTAAAAACGGCTATCTGTGCACAATATGATCAAACAATACATATAACAATTATTACTCAGCTTATTAGAGCTATAAAAAGCTGAAATGAAATTCACAAATATATATTTGTTTCTTTTTTTTGTAGAATTGTTGTTTTTTTTTTTTTGCTGACTTTGATTTGAGAAAGTTGCATAGTTAACAAGTAAATTTTATCAGTCTACCTCAGGTGGAAAACTATCAACAAACCAGGATAAGGGTGAAAAAACTAAACCTCAATCTTCCATTTCCATTATCTACAGTATTAGTGGATGGCTGTCCTGCTTTAGTGATCTTTCTCTGCAATGCAACTACACAGTTCTTCCTATTGGCCGCATCATGGCTTTTTCAACCACTCAACTTAAAAGTGATTACATGATATTATAATTTACGTTACGAAAGTACAAATGCGATCACTAAAGGCTCAGTTTGTAATAAATCACATTAAATTATGTACAGAATTTAACATTCATTTGACTAATTTATGTAGAACATCAGATAATTTAGAGCAATTTGTTGTAGCAGTTGCATTAAACCTTCCTTAAACTAAGTGGAAAAATCAGTTAAAAGTAGTTTTGAGTTTATAGTTTCTTTATACACTCATATGCTTTTAAATAAGTCGATATCTAAATGTCTTGGTCATCAAGGAGCTTTTGACACAAAGCAACATGAAATACATTTTCTAATTCCTGAAATGAAGAACATTTTTATTTCATGTTTCACATCACTGAATGTAACATACTTTTGTTTGAGTGCTTCACTTTCCTGTTCCTTGAATTTCAGAGGTCTGTGGAATAAAATTAGCATCTCTCATTAAATTATTGCAGCACTTATAGACTGAGCTGACACTAGTTTCAGTCAGATCTGTCAGTAGATATCTTTTATCTTTTCTTATCAATTAACTGTTGGATCTTCAATGAATATGACTTTCAATAAACATGAGTAAAATATTATAGCTAGCCATTATTTACCTTGAATGATGTTGCTTCTGTTGGATAACCATCTCTTGGATCCTTGAAAAGATTGAAAAGCATGAAAGATTTGATGTCACTAATTAGCTGTTTTAGTTTGTATAACAGTTTTATTGCAATTATGGACATGAAACACAGCACGTTGATAAACAAAGCATTACAATTCCAAATTTGGTAATACATGATAGACTTATTTTATGCAAACACTTATATCACATATATTTATGATTAAATTTAGTAAGTCAGTAACTTGATATAAAATAACCTTGACAAACGCTAACAATCCAGACTACCACTGCCTGTTTATCTACTGAACATTTGAGGCTATTTTCAAACCTTTGTTTGAGATCTTCATTTTCCTTTATCTTTTCTTTCAGAGCAGATCTGTAAAATTATCCATCCATCCATCTTCCTCCGCTTATCCGGGGTCGGGTCGCGGGGGCAGCAGCTTAAGAAGGGAGGCCCA